AGTACTCATATGTTGTGATTTTGTTTCTTTGTTACTGCCTCAAGAGGCATAGTTTTAATGTAATTCTACGTGACATAGTGATGACAGCAGAAATACAGTTTTTCCTGAAAGTCTTGTAAGCTCTGTAGCAGGAAGCAATGCATTGTAAATCTGTCATTTCCTGCAAGTCTTTCCAGAGAGAACGGTATTTTTCAGCTGAACGAACTTGAGTTTAATATTGCTGTACTTTCTGCATCTTCTTGTTCTTGCCTTAGTACATTGCAAAATTTCCTTTATGTTTTGTTACTTTTATTTATCCACTATTGTTTTTGGTGATAATAATAAAATTAATTTCATGTTTACTTATCAATGTGTTCAGTTCCAAAAACAAAAATGGTTTCTAAAAGACTACAACCCAATCAAAAATAGGCACAAAACATGTAATAGTAGTTAAATCAGAAACCCAAAAACACAAAAGTCATAAGCTTGCAAGGTTCAACTTCTCTCGTAAGAGGAATGCATAAGATATGATTTATTTTTTCTTTCACACATCATTTAGACAAAGATATGACAGTCTAATAAAACACAATTTTTATGGGAATAGGGAAATAACTGTAAAATGATGTAAGGAAATAGGTACTTTACTGTTGGTGGGAGTGTACACTGATACAGTCTTCTTGGAGGGCAATTTGATAATATTTGTCAAAATTAAAAATGTACCTATTCTTTAATCCTGCAAATTCACATGCAAGAATTTATTTCCAGAGACGTAGATGTACATGTTTACAAAGTATATTTTGGTATTAAAAAATGTTTACTTAATCCACTCTAATTTTCTACTCATAGAAAAGTTTAGTTTAAACTTCATTTCCACATATGTATTTGTGTCTTTATATAAAATTAAAAAGTATTAAATAATGTCTTCATAAGGTATGTATCTATGTTCAAAGATAGGTACATACCTATAAAAAATCCTGTATAGAAAGAAGATCAGACATAAAAAACTTTCTTTTTTTGTCTTTTTGTTATTCTGTCTAAATTTTTGCTTTTATCATATATGTTCATTACATTTTTGGTACTAGTTTTAATAGCTCTTTTAAGATATATTGAAATGTTATAACATTTATCAGTTTAAATGTCAATTTTATGGGGTTTTGTATGTTTATAGAATCACATGTACACCTATCCGTACTACTCTTAGGTTTTTATTGCCTCCAAAAGAAACCTTGTACCTATTAGCAGTGCCTCTGCAACTCTCTCACTCCTGCAGCTCTAGGCAACTACTCTTCTACTTTCTGTAAATAGACTTTCTGTTCTGGAATTTCATACAAATGATATACAACATGTGGTGTTTTGTGACTGCCTTCTTTCACTTAGCATAGTGTTTTTGAGATTCAGCTATATTGTGGCATGACAAGCACATTTTGAATTTAAAAACTGTTAAAATCAGAATCAACGTAGCAATTTCAAAATTACTTATCCTGCTGAGTATATTGCACACTAGTTTTGAAATCATTGGGAATTGTATATAGAAAAATGAATTTTTGTTAATAGGTTACCATTTAACTTACCATCCGTGATGTATGAATTAATCACTTAGGCTTTATGTATGATGTGTGTTATATCATTTAATCATTATAGCATATGTTTTTAGTTATATTGTATTATCTCTACAAATAAGCCAATTAAATGATGGAAATTTTTGTGATAAAATTGTGTTCATTTTATACATAAAAGTGCAATGTTTAAAAGTATATGGGCTTAGCCAAGGTGGTGAATGCTGCTAAGATGCTGCATTTCACAGGTTGGGAGCTTTTCCCTTAATTTTCTTCTAATAGTTCTATATTTTCAGGTTTTAGATTTAAGTCTTTATTTTGAGTTGATTTTTATATATGGTGAAAGAGAGAAGAGTCCAATTTTGCTATTTTGCATGTGAACATCAAACTTTCTCTTCATCATTTATTGAAGAAACTGTCCAGATTGGGTGTTCTTGGCACCTCTGTTGAATGTTGGTTGTCTGTATATGTGTTGAAATGGGTAGATTTATTTCTGTACTGTGTTGTGTTCCATTAATGTATGTGTCTGTTTTTTATGTCAGTACCTTACTGTTGATTACTCGAGCGTCGTAATATATTTTAAAGTTAGTTAATGTGTTGCTTACAGGTTTGTTCTTTTTTTCTTAAGATTGCTGTGGCTATTTGAAGTCTTCTGTGATTCTATATAAATTTTTAAATTCTCTTTTCTCTGTAAAATGTATTTGGGAGGGGACCAGCAGTTAGCGTAATGTCTATGTTGCTGAACTTTAGTCGACCGCGGTTTGAGTCCCTGACCCAGTGGCTTATACTCAAGCTGGGCACATGTGCGTGCGTGCCCAAGATCCTGAGAGGAGAATGGAAGAGAAGGAATTGTGGCGTGGCCATCCCCCCTGGGGGGCAATTTCTCACTTTCTGTCTCTCTGACTCTCTCTGTCTCTCTGGCAAGCGCGCGAGCCCTATAGCAAATACCTCTCACAAAAACAAAAACAAAAACAAAACGTATTTGGTATTTTTATAGGGGTTGCATTGAACCTGTAGATCCTTTTGGGTCCTACATTTGAGCATTTTAACAATATTTATTCTTCCAGTCTATGAAGAGCCTTCACCTCTCTTGGTTAAATTGATTTCTAGATTTGATGGTTATTTTGGTAGCTGTGTAAGTAGAATTGTTTTCTTGCCCCCCCCCCCCCCTTTTTTTGAGATAGCTTGCTATCAGTATATAGGAATGCTACTGGATTTTGTATGTTGATTTATTTTAATCCTGCTAATTTGCTGACTTCATTTTTTAGATGAAGAGTTCCGAAAGTATCTTTAGGGTTCTTTTTTTTTTTTTTTTTTTTTTTTGTGTATATAAGATAATGTTGTCTGCAGATGGGGACAATTTAACTTCTTTTCTAATTTGGATACCTTTTATTTCTCTTGCTCTGGCTAGGACTTCCATTAATCTGTTGAATAGAAGTGGTGAGAGTGGGCATCATTTTATTCTATATTTTCGGGGAAAAGTTGTCAACTTCTCCCAGTGCAGTATGAAGCTAGTGGTGTATTTGTCATATATGGCTTTTATTGTATAGAGGCACACTGCTTCTATCCCTAATTTGTTGAGAGTTTTTATCTTGAAGGGATATTAAAATTTATCAAATACTTGTTCTACACCTATGGAAGTGACCATATGGTATTTGTTTTTCATTCTGCTAGTGCGAATTGCCCCATTTATTGATTTGCATTAGTGGACCTTGTATCCCTACCACGAATCTCACTTGAACATAGTGGATAATCTTGCTGATGTACTGTTGAATTTGTATGCAAGGATTTGTTCAGAATTTTTGTATCCATGTTTGTAAGCGAAATTGGTCTGGAATCTTCTTTTTTGTTTTATCTTTGTCTAGTTTTGGTGTCAGGGTAGTGAACAATGGGCAGCCATGTGGGAATCCAGCACCCTTAACCACCACGTCACCTGCCAGCCCGAGATAGGGCATTTTTAAAGGCGGCGCAAAAAAGAAAGAGAAGAAGAGAAAGGAGGGAAAGTGAAAAGGAAGAGAAAAGTGAATATGTGTGTTTACTAGAGGAAGATTTTATTATATATATAAAACATGAAATTTTTATATATAATATTTGTTTAGTAGTAATTGATACCAACTTTCTTTTGCTTGGTATGTTTCTATATATTTCTAGGTCATTTAGGCCATGTTTATAATGCTTGTCTTAGACTGAGGGTAAACTTGTCAAGCTTGATTTGTGATAGCAAAACACTACCCTTTCCTCAAGTCAACTAGAAATTATTTGTGTTAGGAATAGCAAAACACTGTTTTTTACTATTTTCATTTTTATCATTCTTGTGGTCAGCCTTTTCCAGTGGAAAGATTGTTCATTTCTTATTTATCTGTGATTTAAGGCCATCGACAGTCCTTTTGCTCAGTTTATACCATTTTTGTTACATAAGAATGCATTTTGCAGCTTCCATTTTTCTGATTTAAAACAACAGAGATTCAGTTTGTTGGCATAATTAAACCTTTAGTCAGGACTTAGGTCCTGGATTCCTTCCACATAACACTTAGTATGTTGCATTTAGTATGATGCTTTCTATAGAAATTTTTCAATCTAGATTTGTCATGTGTTCTTTTGTCTGTTTCTAGAGGAAATTTTTTTTAAGAATTATTTTTTTTAATTTAACTTTATTTATTTTAATTTGACCAGAGAGAGACAGAGTGAGTGAGAGAGAGAGAAAGTGAAAAAGAGAAAACAAGCCACCAGGTCTGGAACTTGAACAACTGTCGGCCATGTGGGAGTCCAGCATCCTTAACCACCATGCTACCTGCCAGCCCTTATAGGAATTTTTAATAGACAGTCTCTATTCTATCTAAAGATGATTTTATTTTAAGAGCTTTCTCTGTGGGTTGTAATTCATTGAAAACTAGATTGTTTTTTACATTTTAAAAACTTGATCATCTTGAAGTAATATTTATAAACTTTCTGCTTTTTTCACTGACTTGATTATATAAAACCTGTTGACCTCGTTCATAACTTACTTTTATATTCAGGCATTCTATCACACAAGTTAAAAAATTGGCCACTTTTAAATCCTGTTACCCTTGTATCCAGTCTGTGTAACTTGTTTGTGTATGTGTGTGTTTATATGATGCATATTTTATTTATTTATATAATATTTCATACACACACACACACACACACAGGTATGGTTTTTTTTTTTTTTTTTTTCAGGTATGGTTTTCTATGCAAAAATGTGTCATGACTTTTCCAGCAACTCAATATATGATGGATGTGTGTGGATAGCATATGTAATTATTAGTTTTTTTATTTCCTTAATATGGTTTATTTGCAAGGTTAAGAATATGATAAGTACATGATAAATTTTGTAGATCCTTTTATTTTCCCAGGCAGAAGATTTACTAATGGATAGTTAGCTTTTCTAAATCTCACAAGTGATGTCAGTTCCTTCCCAAGTAACGTGTTTTCTCCTTGTTATAGGTCCTTTTGTTCTGCCTCACTGCTGCCATGTACATGTTCTTTTTCAGGTATGTTCTGTTACCTCTATTCTTTTTAATACAATTTAGTTTAATTCAGTTTAAAGATTAGTTTTTGTTATTTGTTAGGTTGTTTTTTTGATAGGGCACGTGTACTCATCAGAGAAAGAAAGAGAGAAAGTGAGAGAGAGAAAGTATGAAATCACCCGCCAGGGGAGATGTCTATGCTATAATCCCTTGTCCTTCATCCTTTTCTCTGGATTTTGGGTACCCACATGCATGCACCTGGTGTGATTCTTAAGCTGCTGGGTCTAGGACTCAGGCCATGAAACTGTCCATATGGGATCCAGCACTTTTAACTCCTGTGCCACTTGCTAGCTCCCTCTTTGTCGTTTTTTAAAAATTTATTTTATTTAGCTTTATTTTATCCATTTATTCATCTATTTTAACTTGAAGAGAGAGAGAGAAAGTGAGAAAGCAAGCTGCCAGGTCTGGGACTTGAACTACAGTCAGCTATGTGGGAATCCAGCACCCTTAACCATCACACCATCTGTTGGCCTCTGCTCTTTGTAGTTCTGAAAAATCAACCAAGAAACTGAAGTATTTTCCTAGTAATTTTCTCCTAAAAGTACCTTTCTTTTCTTTTCTTCTTTTTATTTTTCCCCCTGGGGTGGTCAGAGATAAATCACTGCTTTATAGTAGTGAAGAGAAAGCGAGAGAAGGACAATTAGTGTTTTTTCCTCACAGTCTATTTAAAGTTGGCCCAACCCTGATAAGTGAATATTCTGGGGTTTTTTTATGGAGCTGATTTTAGGTATTCTTTACTCATCTTATAAAACAGTCAGCATTTTTAATTTAAGGAGGAAACAGTGACAGTGGAAGTTCTATGCCTCCCAAAGCACACTGATCATATAAAATATTAAGTTCATATTGTCAGAGTTGTATTTTTTCTGGTCACTAGGACTTGGGGGCTGCTAGGATGGCTCAAGATTTAAATGCCAGTGAAGGATGTTTGTCATTTTCATATAAGCAAAGCAGTGTAGGAATATGATTTTTTATCTTATTATACTTATTTGAAGAGATCTTCCTTGATTTTTCTGGATGTAGATAGAAATTCAGTCACAACAAGAAGGACTAGGCTTTGAAAACCAAAATTCGCACTTAATTAACAAAGGCAGTTATGGATTTTTATTTGCTAGAACTACATTTGCTAAAGTTTTTAAAAAATAAGACAATTCAACCATCCTTGAATTTTTGAGCCACTAATTTCCTGTCAGGATATCCTAATACACATTTGATAAAGCACGCTGATACAATTTTAAGTTATTTAAGTTATTAAGAACTTTTTCACATTTGATAAAGCACGCTGATACAATTTTAAATTATTTAGACTTTTTCAAGAATTTTTTTGGGAAATACAAAATGATGATGATTTTTCTATTATTATTCTTGTAAAGAGAGAGCCAGGCAATTAGAAATAGAAAAATGTATAATAGAGTCAAGGTAGGGAGCATTCAATTTGTAAAGATTATTAATTGTATGCATAATTATATATATATAAAATTTTTTTTTTAGATAAAATCTTGCTGTGTAGCAATCCTCCAGCTTCAGCTTCTTGAGTGGCTAGGTCCATAGCGGGGTGCCACTCTTCCTGTCTTTTATGATGAGCCTAAAGTCAAACCACCCTTGTGCCCTCAGCCTGCTTAGTAGCAGTGTCCAGTGGGTTCCATTGCTGGGTCAGGACATGTAGTTTCTCATATTACTCTTCACTGACTGAAAAATTATTGGATCTGTCTGCTTTCGGCGAGATCCATCTTGTTATTTTTACTGTATCTTCATGTGTAGTATATTACTCTTGTGGTGTCTTTCTTATATTTGAATAATTTGAGGGTGGATCTGGGGAAGTTAAGAACAGTGAGAATTCTATTTGATTGATTTCTCCATCATTTGTTTTCAGATATATTATTAGGACAGTATTGCAAAAGTTCCACATGGTTTATTCTTTATGTCTTTGTATTCTGTCTCGTAAGAATGTATAGCATAGTCCATGAGGAAAATGTGATCATAAAAGTTAAAAAGTTAGAAACATCATTTTTGTTCATGTGCCTGAGGGCAAAGTGCAATATCCTATGAATCGTCTTTTTGTGAAGATTTCTAACAGAACAGGTATTTAAATGAAACAGTCCTTCCCAATGTGACACTTGGATACAGCATACATGAAGTTTTTGAGGTTTAAAAACATATTATTTGTTGAATACACTGATAAATGCTCAATTTGCAGGATGGTTCTAGGAAATTACATTTTGAAGACTCTACCATCAACCTAGTATTTTGAAGGAAGAAAATCAACCCTATAAATATATGTTTTGGTGCAGAGCTATGGAACCTTTTCCTGTTTCAGTCACAAAGTCTTGGTTAAAAACAACAGTTTAAAATACTTTCCAGAAGGCTCAATACCAGGTTTAAATGCCAAGATAAACACTTCCAGTTTTCTGAGGAAAGGAGTTATTTTTCTCTCCAAAAGAAGCACTATCACCAAATTCCTAGTGTTTCTGGCAGAAGTTAGTTTGAATAACTCAACAAAAGAGGTTTGGTAAATGGTAAAATAAAACCATTTATAAAGTACTAGAACCAAACTAAACAATTTGATCTATTTGTCTGAACACAAGCTTGTGATTGGAATGAACAAACGATTTTATATAGCACTTGGCAAAGTCAACTGGATTACAATTTTTTTGTTAAAATTTATTATAAATACAGATGTTTGAAGATACCTTTATTATACTTATTTAAGCAATTATTTTACATGTAGAGGCTTAAAGTTGTATAATTAAATTATATTGTCCTCAGGACTCCATTTATCGCAATCTTCTTTGGGAAGTGGCTAAGGGAAAAATTTTGTATTCAGAATGAGTCAACTCTGTAAGTTTACCTTAACCTATAAGTGGGAAAAATGGAAGTGAGAGTTTCTTTCAGTAGAAAAAAAAATGCCAAATTTTTTAAAAAGAGAGATCTCAAGGAAATAGTGTTATTATGAGTATTTTCTAGAGATGTCACAAGATTTAATTATTACAGTAATTTACTTAAAAAGCAGCATAGTACTTTCAGTGTTGAAAACTATGGTTAAGAAAATGTGTATGAATTATCTTACTTTGCTAAAATATTTTATTCTTAATAGTTTTATTACATACATTATTTCATAATGGTGCTGGTGATTTTCAGTTCATACACCAGAAACAGACTTGTATTCAGATAGAATCCTGTGGCAAGGTAAGTGTGAAGAGAGAGTTCTATCTAGTTCTGTGCTCGTTTTTAGCCAACGGCTGCCAGCCCTGTAGCCATTAAGGGATTTGTTGAAATAAACACATTTGAAGTTTTTTTTTTTTGAGAGGTTTTCGCTATAAGGGCGCGTGCGCTCACCAGACCGAGAGAGACATAGAGACAGAAAGCGAGAAATCACCCCCCAGGGGCCATGGTCACGCCGCAATCCCTTCTCCTCCATTCTCCTCTCGGGATCTTGGGCACGCACGCACATGCACCCGGCATGAGTTTTAAGCTACCAGGTCCAGGACTCGAACTGCAGTCGACTACGTGGGAGTTCAGCGACATAGCCATTACGCTAACTGCTGGTTCCCACATTTGAAGATGTTTTGAAAGAAAGCTCTTTGTACAATTCCAAGGGGCAGTTTTTATAATAGTTTTGCTTCCTTTTTTTCAATCACTTTATTACTGTGTATGCTATTGTCATGGCTGTGCCATGGGGCATTGTCTGTCACTATGAGTTCAGGTCTAGCAGAAGTCATGGTTGAAACCTGGACAGAAAATTTTGTCACTCAAGCCCATTTAAACCATTTCTTTAATTTCAACTATGTATTCATAGGTATAGTAACCCTGAGTGTTTTCTTGTCAGAGGATTCATCTTAGTTCTTGATTAAGGCTTGAGTAGATGATCTTTTCAACAGTCAGTAGAGAAAAGAAATGAGCTTTTTTTGACCACCGGGCTCTTTTATTATTTTAATTGAGAAGCAAAGAAAAAATCAGCAACAACAAACACTAAGCAAAATTATCACACTTAATCTTCCTCACAAAAAGACAATGGAAACAATGCAGTACATTTAAACATTGGTTCGTCAGTTTTATTGTCAACATTAGGTATCTGTTTGTGAAGAATACCAACAGTTTAGAACAGGGAGTAAACCAGCGTCATTTTTCTTACATTACATTAAAATAGACAGTATTATAAAGACAGTAAATTAGACAGTGTTATAAAGCATATTATATCAACTTTGATCCTAGCCTATGAGTGCTAGCAAGAATTTCTGGCCACATACTTTGCAAAACCAAGAGCTAATCCAACAGTTTGTTTCAGCCTGTAGATTGAAAGGCTCAGACTTGTCATCACAGTTAATCTATAGGCTATGAGAGCTTATTTAAGATAGACATATTTTAAATAGAAAAGTATTGCATTTTGAGAGACCAGTACAAAGGAAAGTTTATTGTTGTGTTTTGAACATATTTACGAACAGTATTTTTTCTGACAGTTCATGAACTCTAATCAACTCTCTGTAAAGACACAATAATAAGCCATTTAATTAGTCTAAAGTATAGATTTAGCTTTTATATTTGAGAAAACCACTGTTTGTTTTTTTTTTATAAAAACAGTCTAAAAATTATATTATAAATGGCATATTTGCCAGAGGGCACCTGTGCTCAGCAGAGAGCAATAGAGGGAGGGAGAAGGTGACCACCACCTACCCCCAATGGGAAATGGTCATCTTCTCTCCTCCATTTCTTCACCCTGTCAAGATTTTGGACATGCACGTACCCACTGGGGCTAGGACTCAAACTGTGTGTCAGCCATGTGGGATTCAGCTGCCTTAACCACCAGACCACGGAGCTGGCCCTTACTGCGGCATTTGGAGGTTAAAAGTTTTACTTTTAGGATAATTTGCCCTAAATAATTAAATTTTATTTTAAAGAGATTATTTACAGCAATGCAGCATGTGTATTGGGTGTTTGAGAGGGACCATATGACAAGTAATGGGGAGATC